TATATATATATATATAGTTATCGTTAGTATATATACTAACATATATTACATTATATTAATATTTTAGAGTTTTTCCAAATATTTTCCATAAATCATTTCCATGACTTTAGACTTGCAATAATTCTATTGAATTTTTTCTGGGTAAAGAAAACAAGATAAATATACTCTGAATTTACAATGTACATGGCTTGTGGGAACCATGTTTTCCTTTTCAACATGTCTACACAGCATTTATAAACACTGAAATGTACTGTAGAGAACAACTGTTAATACTTTTGTTGTTTATGTAGCAGTTTGGATTGAAACTACTAGCCCAACCCATTATATCAAACAGCTGCATAATAGTTATGTCACATATTCCGCTACAATCAACTGACGGGCCATTTAAATGTCCATATTTACTAAACACTTTATAAACTGCGACCGACGCGACAGGACCGCTCCCACTCATTCCAATCACCCTCGCGTTCAGTGTGGACGGGCTGTTTATGCTCAGCTGCTATGCGGCTAACTAGCACAGGAGCTAACCAGCAGTTAACTTAACATACAATTATATATTAGGCACAGCTGTCACAGCTAACATCATGAACTATCCAGACTGTGCTTCAGAAAACTGGCAATACTGACAGCAGTTGCGTGCGCTTAAGAAGTCGTGCTTAACTATCCACTCTCAAAAACAAACAAAAACACTTTTATGCATGTGTTTAGTCGCTCAAACGTAGCATTTAACACTTTTACAGCCGTTTTAAACACTGTGAAACAACAGCAGGCCTCTGGACATGCCTGACAATAACAATCCGTGCTTAATCCTTTACCTCAACAGTTCATTCAGTGAAACCAAACAAGACCGTCTGTCAGTTGCACATCAGACGGAGTTAGTTGATATTCGACGCGCCTGCTCTCCTGTCTATCCTGTTGCCAGGGAAACATCTCTATTTACAAGGCATGCATCTGCGTTACTGTAGACAGGGATGTGTGTCTGCTGTTAAAGAGAGTTATCTGTTTCAGGCCGGGGTTAGACTTCGAAAGATCCGCCATTTTCAGCTCGTTATCAGTTCAGACACGAGAACCCGCGGCAGAAAAACAGCAGGATTTGTTGTTTTGTCACACAAAGGAGGAGCAGAATAGACAAACGACGTTCACAATCATCATAATCTGTCGTTATTCGTTTCAAACCCGCATAACTTTTCCTTCACTGAAACAGAACATGTTTATCAGCCTCGGTTCCCATTCACTATCAGTGCATATTTCCCCGTACGGTTTAATGGATGAGGATTGACTTTGTCAGCTTGATAACATCTTTCTGGTCTTCCAAAGACAAAAAAGAAGCCATACAGGTTTTGAACAACAGGTTTTGCAATTTTCTCTTCACCTTCGTGCAACCTGTCTTATTTTAGTTCAAATGAATTGGTACAATAACATGTAACGTTATATAAAATTAAAATGTAATATTGCAAACTCATGCACATTAAAGAGTCTGTCCCTCAAACGAAGCCACGTAGTTCTTTTAAAGCTTCATGTCGACGATATTTATATATAAAGCGACTACGGTTTAGAAAACAGAAGTGCATCAACAATACTAAATATTGATCATTATTTCCATTACCCGAATCAGTGCATATTGTGCAAACATAAAACAAACATCATGAGCGCAAAAAGTCAAACTTACAGTTTAAAACCAAAATACTATCTGTTTAATTACAAAAAACAACATGAGAGGACCACTCTGCCACAAAATTATATCTTTTATTTTATATATATATAAATTAATTTTAATATATAAACTAAAATCTCACGTTTTAAATGCAACTAATAATGCTGTGAACCAATGGTTATGCAGAATAAAACTCTTAAGAGGAGTATGACAGGCGCGTAGGGCCAGCAGCTCGCTGTCACTGACTGTCAGGTATAGCCTCGGGTGCTAACCAGTTAGCAGCTAATAACTAACACTATTAAGCTTTGCCCGTGTTTGGTTTGTGATGCAGAAGTTCCCCAGACATTAGCAGCGATCACAGCTGGGCGTGTGACGCACTGGAGCGAACTGACACACACACACACACACACACAC